TATTTATATATATTTGGGTTGCAACAATACAGTTAGCCCACGGTTCAATACATACCTCAGTTTTTTTAACACGGCTTTTGGTTCGGTTTGGTTCTCATGGCTTGACACGTGTGTTTTTTGTTATTCTATAGGCAATAGGAACAGTGAAAGGTTGAGGAGAAAAAAATAAAAAGGATTTATTGCAATACTCATTTTGTTTTACTTAAAAGCCAAGAAAAGTGCACTAGTTCCTAGAGTATTGTATAATAAATGAGCACTGAAATCTCACAGCTGCTGTAGCCCATGTACAAACTGGAGAACACATGAACTCCTCCACTTGGAGAATAAACACACATGTGGAGTTAATAAAGATGAATTGGTCATTACAGATAAACATATTTGTCCTTCAGTAAACATAAATAAACCATCTTCATTATCTCGGTGCTGAAACATGCGAGACTGTAGTCTGTAACGCAGATCGAGTGCTTTTATAAGATGACAGAAGCCCACATCTCCAATCACCCAAAACGGCTGCAAATCTTCAGCAGTAAACACCCGCACTGCCTCTGCTATTTTATGTGTCTCTCAGAGCCAGTTGTGTTTGTTTGCTGGAAGGATTCAGTGAGGGATTGTTGCTGTTTGGAGGACTTTATTCGCTTCTCTGCTCTCCTGCTTCAGACAGTGATATTGCTGGGTGATGCGCTGCAGATGTGCAGTCATGATTATATGTGTAAATCAATGCAGCACACAGTTATTTTTTGTTCACAGTTTTTTCTTTTATTGGCTTTATACTAACCTGCAAAACCGAAATGTCCTCACACCGCAGATTTGAAAGAGGCCGGCGCTTCCTCATACTAAAGAGCATAGAATCACCATCATTCTTAGCTCTTTGCTGGTACTGTTGCCTCACTTTGCCGGCACTTTCTCGTACTGCTGCCTCACTTCACCACCACTCGCCATGTTGGTCAAGCGCCCCCTAACTTTAGAGCACAGTGATTGGATATTTACTCGCGGGGAGGAGTTTCCTCACCTCAGCTCATGGATTTACAGGCACACACAGTCAATTCGGGGAGATATAAAACACACATGAATTATTTAAAGCAAAACCGAGAAAACCGCAATTCACAAGTGCATACTGAACCGTGGAGGTCGTACCGTACAGTTCAATATTATATTGAGAACCGTGGCATCCCTAATATATATATATATATATATATACACTGTTAAATTAAAAATTATTCAGCCCTGTGATTTGTTTTTCAAATATTTTCCAAATGAAATTGGACCCTAACTTGCCTAATTAACCTAATTAAGCCTATAAATGTCACTTTAAGCTGAATACTAGTGTCTTGAAGAATATCTAGCTATCTTTCATCTACACTCCCTGACTTGTCTTGTGGTGGATCAGCTGTAAGAGCAGCAGATAATATCTGGTCTTCTAGTTGATGATGTGTGAAAGTGTCAGAAGGTGGATTCCTCTGCTGGATCATCTGCTGATCTGCATCATCACCAATACTGCAGAAGACCTACTGGAACCAGCATGGACCAAGATTCTCACAGAAATCAGTCAAGTTTGGTGAAGGAGACATCCTGGTTTGGGTTCATTCAGTATGGAGAGATCTGCAACATCAACAGCCTGAGGTATCAAGACATCTGTGCTGCCCATTACATTACAAACCACAGGAGAGGGACAATTCTCCAGCAGGATAGCGCTCCTGCTCATACTTCAGCCTCCACATCAAAGCTCCTGAAAGCAGAGAGTGCTCCAGGATTGGCCAGCCCAGTCACCAGACATCAACATTATTGAGCTGATGAAGGAGGAGGTGTTGAAGATGAACACAAAGACTCTTGATGAACTCTGGGATCCTGCTGAAGCTTTCTTCTTCATTCCAGATGACTTTATTAATCAGTGATGTGAGTCATGTCAGAGATGTATGGATGCAGTCCTCCAAGCTCATGATGGAGTCAGACACAATATTCATTCTGTCTCCACTGCAGCAGGACTTTATATTCTATACTGGACATTATTTCTGTTCAGTGATGACACTTTAGTGTGAGCAGAGTCAGAGCGCACTGTCCTCATCAAATCAGTCAACATCAAGACATGATCAGATTTATTGAGCTCAAATCAGCAAAATCTAGAGGCCTTCACCTTTCACAGAGACACTTCTGACACCAGATCAGCCACTAGAAGAGCAGATATTATCTGTGTTCCTACAACTGGGATAAGCGGCAAGACTGGTGTCAGGTAGTGTGCTGTCATCATGGCAAAGATAATGCAGATGGCATTTCTGAAATAATCTAGTGTGTGTCCAGCAGTCAAATCAGATCAGATTTCAGTTTTAAATGCTGAATAGTTCATTGATTATTTTTAGTTTGTTGTTTTAAGAACAGAAATGATGTAAAATGTAGAGATTTCATTCAGATACAAATGCAAAGAGGAAAATTCTATTAGAAAAGAGAGATATCTGGGGAAAATACAGCAAAAAATAAATGAATAATTAATCAAATTAAAGACAATAATTGAAATAACTAAATAGAGAAGATCTAATGACCATGTGAGTGTGTGTTTGTGTTTGTATGAGTGTGTGTTCAGCATGCGTGGGTGTGTTTCTCACATGCATCATGCGTGTTTGTGTGTGTATCTGTGTGTGTGTGTGGGAGTGCTGGAAAGCCCCTGTGCTGTGTTCATTCACACCTCTGTCTCCTGTCGGCCGCAGCTCTGCGTCTGCTGCATGTGAGTGTGTGTTAGTTGCACTGTTCAAAGTGTCTGCTGGATCCTGCAGAGTTGCAGCTGAACACACACACGTGCTCATCACACAGACACACACACACACACACACACACACACACTTATCATCTCGTCACTCCTGCATTTCCTCTGTTTGTTTGTTTTTGTCAGTTTCTTTCCTTCTTTCTTATTTTCTGTTGTTAAATATTATTTACTGTCATCATGGCAAAGAGAAAAAAAAAATCACTATGTATACACTCACTGGCCACTTTATTAGGTACACCAGTCCAACTGCTTGTTAACGCACATGTCTAATCAGCCAATCACAGGGCAGCAGCTCACTGCATGTCGGCATGTAGACATGGTCAAGAGGATCTGCTGCAGGTCAAAGTGAGCATCAGAATGGGGAAGAAAGGGGATTTAAGAGACTTTGACCGTGGCATGGTTGTTGCTGCCAGACGGGCTGCTCTGAGTATTTCAGAAACTGCTGATCTACTGGGATTTTCATGCACAACCATCTCTAGGGTTTACAGAGAATGCTCCGACAAAGAGGAAATATCCAGTGAGCGGCAGTTCTGTGGGCGCAAATGCCTTGTTGATGAGGTCAGAGGAGAATGGCCAGACTGGTTCCATCTGATAGAAAGGCAACAGTAACTCAAATAAGCACTCGCTACAACCGAGCTCTGCAGAAGAGCATCTCTGAACACACAACACGTCCAACCTTGAGGCGGATGGGCTACAGCAGCAGAAGAGCACACCGGGTGCCGCTCCTGTCAGCTAAGAACAGGAAACTGAGGCTACAATTCACACAGACTCACCAAAACTGGACAATAGAAGATTGGAGAAACGTTGCTGCTCTGATGAGTCTCCATTTCTGCTGACACATTCAGATGCTCGGCTCACAATTTGGCCTCAACAACATGAAAGCATGGATCATCCTGCCTTGTATCAGCGGTTCAGGCTGGTGGTGGTGGTGTAATGGTGTGGGGGAGATTTTCTTTGGGTCCATTAGTACCAATTGAGCATCAACGCCACAGCCTACCTGAGTATTGCTGCTGACCATGTCCATCCCTTTATGAGCACAGTGTCTCCATCTTCTGATGGCTACTTCCAGCAGGATAACGCAGCATGTCATAAAGCTCAATCATCTCAGACTGGTTTCTTGAACATGACGATGAGTTCACTGTACTCAAATGGCCTCCACAGTCACCAGAGCTCAATCCAATAGAGCCGCTTTGGGATGTGGTGGAACGGGAGATTGGCATCATGGATGTGCAGCCGACAAATCTGCAGCAACTGTGTGATGCTATCATGACAATATGAAGCAAAATCAGGTGTACCTTATAAAGTGGCCGGTGAGTTTATATGTCTAGCTGTAGTTATACTGTGCCGACTTTTTCTGATTTGGGGTTGTCTGTGTGTTTATATATATATATATATATATATGTATATATGTGTGTGTGTGTGTGCGCATGTGTATATGTGTGTGTGTGCTGTAGTGTTTCTGCATCACAACATCAGGCTGATATGTATGAGATTAGTCTCACACTTCTGCTCTCAGCGATTGCTTCTGCTGGATCTGCTCTGCATACAGATGAAGAACACCATCGTCATCATCATCATCTTCATCATTATTGTTGTGTGTATTTATATAGTGCATTTATCCTGTATGGTCATACACACCAAAGCTCCACTTGGATGATGCTCCGGCATCACAGGACAACGGCGCCAGTGCTTCACCACACACCGGCTATAGGTGGAGTGGAGAGAGTGATGGAGCCAGTTCAGTGGATGGGGATGATTAGGAGGTCGTGATGGGTAAGGGCTGATGGAGGGAGTTTAGCCAGGACACCGGGGTTACACCCCTACTCTGTATCAGCAGTGCCATGGGGTTATTACTGAGCACAGAGAGTCAGGAGCTCGGTTTAACAGCAGTATAGAGTCCCCTTCACTACACTGGGGCATTAGGACTCACACAGAACACGGGTTGAGCGCCCCCTGCTGGCCTCACTAACAATACTGCGAACAGCAGCCTGGTGTTCCCATGTGCTCTCCCATCCAGACACTGACCAGACTCAGCCCTGCTCCGCTTCAGTGAGGGAGCGCTCTGGTATATCAGGTGATGACGGTCAGTTTCTGCAGGAGCTTTGAGGAGTGTAATTAATGCTTAATGAACACACACACACACACACACACACACACACACACTGAATGAGTTCCTGTGTTCAAAAGAGAAACAGCATTAATTAATTGTGTGTGTGTGTGTGTGTGTGTGTGTGTGTGTGTCCAGCGTTCAACGTCTGCTGTAAGGACTCGGGTTTCTTCATGGTCTTCAAGTGTCGTGAGGAGAACGCGGCGCTGAAAGAGTGTTTGACGCAGCAGTGAGTTTCTCTCTTCTACATTCACACACTCATTATCATTTTCCCTCAGATGTGTGTGTGTGTGTGTGTGTGTGTGTTTATTCTCAGCATGTGGTTTTGACTGAATTTAATCATTTCATTCTTTGTCAATATATTTTTTAAATTGTACAAATTTGTGCTTTAATTTTGAACATTTTCTCCAGCAATATTGACTTTGTTTAGTTTAAAGGGTCGTGAACAGACGTGTTGAGCTGTTGACAGTCGTATATGTGTCCCACACAGCTATAAACACTATTAGGACACGCGTATCACACTAAATGTGAAAATTGGTTGTTTTTGCGCTGTTTTGAGCTGATTCGTTCTTTCAGTTTGAAACAAAATGTGAATTTTATTTTTCCTAAATTTAACACGTTTTTTTTCTGAGCATCACATCCCCAACATTTAATTTCAATATTTCAAACAAAATCTAACAAGGTTTTCCCTAAACACATTTTTTTATTTCTGAGCAAGGGAATGTTAAAATCAAATGTAGAGAATAAACTCCGCAAGTTTTACTCTAAACACGTTTCTACTTTTATATATATATATTCTCACAATTAATTGAGTTTTTCCTCAACATTTTATTTTTCAAAATGCAACAGGATTCTTTTTTGTGTTTGAGTTGGATTTTATTCTCAACATTTTACTTTGATATTTGGATTTATTTCTAGACAAATCAACAGCTTTATTCTCAAAATACAACACTTTGTTTTCTTGAAGAACATTTAATTTACAGAACAAACTGCTGAAATATATATATATTTTGAAGATAAAAATTCTGAGAAAAAAGTTTGACTCCAGACACTTTTTTTTGTTTTTCCTCTGAATTGGTTTATTCTCAACATTTGATTTTGGCATTTTTAAAAGGATTTATTTCTCAAAACAAAACAACTTTATTTTCAAAATTCAACAGTTTCTTGAAGAACACCTTCAATTTAGAGAGAAAAAAGTGTTGAGAATAAATGTAGAAAACAAGTTTTACTCTCTGAATTTGAGTTTTTCCTCAACTGTTTATTTTTCAAAAGGCAACAGGATTCATTTTTCTTAGAGTTTGATTTTATTCCCAACAGTTGATTTTTACATTTTTCTTTAAGGATTTATATCTCAAAACAAAAACAGCTTTACCCTCAAAATCCAACACTTTGTTTTCTTAAAGAACACCTTCAATTTAAAGAACACTAATATTAATCTTTTTTGCTCAGATTGTAATGATTTTATTTGAGCGTTTGATTATTATTTTTATTTTTTCTGAGTTTGACTTTCTTCATTTGATTTTGACATTTTTCTTAAATGATTTATTTCTTAAAAAACACACAACAACCTTAATCTCTAAATGACACGTTATTGAAGAACACTTTAAATTTGGAGGAAAAGTTTGAAATCAAATATTGAGAATAAACTCATCAAACTTAGAGGAAACTAGATTTACTCTAAACACTTCAGAAAATAACGTTTTCTTTCTCAGAATGTGAAGATTTTATTCTCAACATTTATTTAGATTTTTTTTTCTCAAAATCCAGCAGTTTTTTTCTGAATTTTACATTATTTCCTACATTTTATTCTTAAATGATTTATTTCTCAAAACAGTTTTGTTTCTTGAAGATCTCGTTAAATTTAGAGTAGAGAAGGAAATAAAATATTGAGAATAAACTCATGTTCAGATGATAAAAGTTTTACACTAAACAGGTTTTTTAATCAATTTGTTTTTGTCTCAGAATGTAAGAAGTTTATTCTCAGCATCTTAAAGTGTAACACACTTTCTCAAAACACAACAGGATTTTTTTTCTCCAAAAATGAATTTTTTTCCTCTAAATTTGACTTTATTAACAATATTTTGACATTTTTTCTTCTTCTTTTTTATTGTTTTGTGTGTTCGGCTGCAGTTATCGGGATCCGGTGTTCTTCGAGGAGTGTAAACAGGAATATCTGAAGGAGAAGCTGCAGTATGAACAGACCGGCGTCCCGACCAAAAGCAGAAAACAGAAGCTTCCCACCAGCATGTAGACACACACACTCACGCACGCACGCACACACACACTCCCTTTATATTCATGATTAATCATCCCTCGCTGATCATCACTCAATGCATTCAATGCACATGTGTGTGTTTGTGTGTGTGTGTGTCTCCAGGGAATCAAACACACAGCGGGTCTGAAACACACACACACACACACACACACACACACACACAGATCTGCTGTTTTCTGCAGGTTTACATGTGTTAAACGTGCAGATTTACTCCATTCAGATGTTGAGCGCTGATCGCTCTGATTATAATAAAACATGTTTAATGTTGATCTGTTGTTTATTTATATGTGTACAGTTGAAGACAGCTATTATTGTTGTCTTGCACATTTCTAATCATAATAGTTTTACTAACTCATCTCTAATAACTGATTTATTTACTCTGTCATGATGACAGCACAACTAGATATTCTTCAAGACACTAGTGTTCGGCTGAGTGACATTTAAAGGTTCACCAGGGTAATCAGGGTAAAGTTATTGTTTAATGATTTGGAAAATACTTGGGGAAAAAAATCAGCATTTCATTAATAAATTTTGCCTTCAACTGTACAGAGTTTATTCTGCCAAAAAATGACCAAAACAAAAGAATATTAATTATTTCATTAAAATAAAACCTAAATCTGAAAACTCCAATTAAAAGATTAAAATATGAGATAAAACTGTTAATGAAGTCCGTCTGTGCCTTTAATGTATAGATGTGACATGAAGCTGGATTTTCATCATCAGAATATTTGTGATTATTAATGTTTCATGATGAAGAATAAACTGCTGCATTCATTCGAATCAAATTTATTTACTGTCATTTCTGAGTCATTAAATTTTTGCTTCATGAATAAATACATTGATTTCTTGTTGATGTATCATTGATTGGTATATATATATATATATATATATATATATATATATATATATATGCAATCAATTGTTTGACAGCAATTATTATAAACGTGTGTGTGTTTTTTCAATCAAATCCTGTTTTATAAATAAATTAAAATACAGAAATGTCATATGTATACCCTTGCAATCCAAACATGAGCTTTAAAAAAATGTGCATTTACATTTTAATTTAAATGTTTAAAATTACAAATATGCACATGTTCATTCTACATAACATTAATAAAGCTTAATATACCGTGTGTTTCATTATTTGATTTTAAGTCTTTTATTTTCAGTATTTCGCTGTAGTTTTTTTTATGTGTGATGTTGGTAGAGAATGAGATCAGCTCAGTTTCACATGGACTCATTTATTGAATATTTACAAACACTTCAGATTCAATATAGTGCTAAAAAATTATCTACTGTACATTGCATTTTGGTTGAAGAGCGCATCGTGTTTAATGACAAACCAAAAGCCCCGTAATAAATACTCATTATTTACACCACCAACACAGAAAAGAGAAACTCGTCTTCAGCTTTGTGCTTTAACAGGACACAACAGAACTTCAGTTATGCCTGAAAATCACCTTTAAATGCTCATCGAGACTTGATCAACAACTGCTCCATTTCTACATGTTCAGAAGAGAAAACAGAAACGCAGATGATCGATTATGCAGGATTATTTATGACATGGAATGAAAAAAATGTAATTCAATTTTTTTTGCCATCTCAGATCTGAGAAAGTGTGAATTTGGAGAAGAGAAGTCAGTATTTAAGAGACAAAAAATGTACAAAGGATGAGACTGAAATCTGAAATTGTGCAATAAAGGTTTGTGTAATTGTAGAAAACCAACAACAACAAAAATGAGATCTTTAAAGTTAAACCAACAAAAAATTAAATCTGAATTTAAGTTAAATCGACAAAAAAAAATTTTTTTTAGTTGAACAAACCAAAAAAATATGATTTTTAAAATTGAACCAACCAAAATAAATCAGAATTTTTAAGTTGAACCAACAATTTTAAAAAGTTGAATAAAAAAAGCTGAATTTTTAAGTTGAACCAACAAAAAAAATCTGAATTTTAAGTTAAACCAACAAAAAATGAAATCTGAATTTAAGTTGAATCAACAAAAAATCTGAATTTTTAAGTTGAAGCAACAAAAAAGTAATAATTTTTAAGTTGAATCAGCAAAAAAATATTTAAGTTGAACCAACAAATGAAAAATATATAAAAGTTGAACCAACGAAAAAAAACTGAATTTTTAAGTTGAACTAACAAAAAGTATTTTTTTTTAAGTTGGAACAAAAAATATATATTTTTAAGTTGTTTTAAGTTGAACCAACAAAAAAAAACTTTTTTTTTTTAAAGTTGAACTAACAAAAAATTAAGTTGAACTGAAAGAAAATCTGAATTTTAAATTTGTACCAAAAACTTGGTTTAAAACTTGGCAACAGAAAAGAAGACATTTCTAAAGAAGAAAACATTGGAGTTGTGAAAATAACGTGAGAGGAGTGAGATGAAGCTGAGAGTGGGAGAAAGACTGAGCGAGATATAAGTGTGCAGTGTGGAAGGAACTGGATTCTGATGATTGCGAGTGTAAAATCTGGAACCTGTGTGAAGCTTTATTGGGTCTGTTTGTTCACAGCACAGTTTCAGACACTGATGAAGAGTCCAGCTCACAGCTCAACATCCTCCTCACCATCTACACAAGAGCAGCAGAGCTCAGAAACAGCAGATCAGCCACTACAGAGCACTGCCTCTGCCATGGATTTATTATCGGTGTTTAAAAACAGAAATGCTCGTCACAACTTCAGACAAGCTTTAGTGTGAATCTGCAAAGTCAGCAAGAAGACATTAAAAAGATGCAACTTTAAGACTTCTAAGACATCTTAGAAATCGAGATTAAGTTGCAATTGCAAAAATCAAGGGTAAAACTCAGGATAAAAATGTAAAGGTGAAAGCGCACAACTGTGAAAATAATATGAAAAAGCTGCAATTAAAGGAAATTGCAGCAAAAAAGTTGCAAAAAAAATAAAATCTGAATTTTAAAGTTGCACAAAAAAAAAGATTTTAAAGTTTCAAGCTGAAGCAACAAAACAAATGTGAAGTTTAATGTTGCACCAAAGAAATTATAAGAAAAAAAAATAATAATAATGATCAGAATTTTAAAATTGCACAAAAATATATTCTTAACGTTAAACCAGCAAAAAAAAAAAAAACATTTAACCTGAAGCAACAAAACAAAACAAAAGTGAAGTTTAATGTAAAAAATAATTGTAAAATTTCAGCAACTAAATCAGAATCTTAAAGTTGCAGCAAAAACAACATGCAGAATCTGAACTCAGGGTGAGGAGTGCGAGACTGAGCTGCAGTGGAGAGCGATCAGAGCTCCAGCAGCCTGTGGGGCACCTACAAATTGAGCCAATTGATCATTTTGGGCGAAAAGAAAGGAGAAAAAAAAAACAATAAAAATTTAAAATTTTCTAAAATGAAAATTCAGAATTTTAAAGAAATCTGATCAACACGAATCAGAATTTTAGTTGCAAAATTGATGAAAAAAAGTCCAGAAGAGAGAAAACTGCAGCAGAGTGAGGAAGGCTTACTGACACGAGTCTGTAAAAAAAACTACAAAAATTAATTAAGAATGAAAAAAAACTGCTATAAAATGATGACAAATTCACAATTACAGCAAAAAAGTCAGAACTGCGTTTTAAATTAATCAAATTTGTAGAATTTTCAAGTTGCCACAAATAAATCTGAACTAGCAGTTTTAGTTTTTGATTTCAGTAAAAAAAAATAATAAAAGTTTTATTTTATGTTGCAGAACGGTCATAGGAATTAAAAAAGAAATGTAAAGCTGCACCAAATAAATGTACATTTAAAAGTTGCACCAACAAACAAAATGTAGAATTTTAAAGTTTAAAACAAAAAGTGAAATTCATCAGCAAAAAAAGGAAAAGAGCGAGAAAACAGCGGACGAGTGAGCAAATCTCCAGCAGAGAGTCAGGACACCTTCCTGGAGTCACACAAACAAACTAACCCAAATGATGAAGAAGAGAAGAAAACAACAACAGAAACGCAGTAAGAAGGAAAAATTTGCTCTGAAAAATCATCGTCAAATTCAGACCTGCAGCAAAATCCTCTGATTTGGGGAAACAAAACAGTTTTAAAGTCGCACCAACAACAAAACACTGATGAAGAACAGCCCGAGAGAAACCTCCAGCAGAGAGTGAGGATGGACACACGGGTTCCAGGAACTCATCTGTGTAAAACATAACGCGAGTGTGTTGAGTTGTGCGTAATCAAGAGTGTGTGTTGAGCTGTGTGTGTGTGTGTGTGTGTGCGGTAAGGCAGTGCGGTGCGGGGCGGCCCTCAGTCTGCCGCCGGGCTCCAGAAGAGCGCCTCGCTGGGTCTGGGAGGACTCGGGAAGGACCAGGAGCTGTCGTCCAGAGAACTCATGCGCAGCGGGGTGCTCTCAATCAGGTCCTGTGAGGCCAGCGGAGGAGCACTGGGGGGGCGCGGAGTCGAGTCCCGGACCCGCTCCACATCGTCCAGACACTGCACTGGAACAGTTGAAGCAGCTGAAACCCACAGTCTGACGGTTTAATACACACCTCAGACACACACACACACACACACAAACGAACGCATACACAAATGCAGAGCGGCACACAGATGTACGCATGCGCACACACAAACGCACAGACACGCAAGCACACGCACACACAAAGCATGCACACGCACACAGATGCATGCATGCACTCACACACAAAACATGCACAAACACACACATACACAAAAGCATGCACACACACACACACCGACGCGCAAACACACGCACACACACAAATGCACAAATGCAGATGCACAAAAACACGCACACACATACAAATGCATGCACACGCACACAATTGCACAAACACACACAGACATGCAAACATAGGCACACACAAACAAATGCATGCACACACGCACAAAGATGAATGCATACACACACACACACACACACACACACACACACACACACACACACAAATGCACAAATGCACAAATGCACAAACACACACACAGATGCACTGACAGGTACACAAAAACACACACAAACACATGCACACAAAGATGACTTTACACAGACACGCGCACACACACACACACACACAAATGCACGAACCCCCGTACAAAGAAGTGCAAACAAACACAAATGGACAAGAACACACACACAAAGATGCATGTACACGCACACAAAAACACACACACAAATGCACAAACAGGCGCACAAATGCGCGCACAAACATACAAATGCACGCACACACGCGTTTACACAAATGCACAAACACACACACACACAAATGCACAAACACACAAACACAGACGACCAAACACACGCACACACAAATAGATGCATGCACACACACAAAAAGCAGCATGTGCACAGACACACTGACTGACAACATTACAACAACAGTAAAAAAACTTTATAAACTGTTTTTTAAGTTAGTTTCTATATATATTGTGAAAAACATCAGAAAATGTCAGAATTGCAACAAAAAAGTCACAAATAAAACAGAAGTCAAAACTGAGAACTTCAGAACTGCCATGGAGAGTCAGAAATGTGACAAAAAGTCAAAACTGCAACAATTAAAATCATAATTTCAGCAAAAAGAGTGATCAGTGCATGTGAAAAGTCAATATTGAGTGTCAAAACTGCAACAAAAAGTCCGAAAAATCAGTATTTTTGTGTAAAAATGAGTGTTTTCATTTCAAACTGGTAACAAATGTCATTTTGTATCACTCGGACACTCATGTATAAAATATTTAGCTGATTTTAATGCTATGCATATCAATTGTGCACATAAACACACACACTGATATTTCTGCATGTGTGTGTGTTCGCCGAGTCTGGCCTGGGTCTGAAGTTTGAAATGCGCCCAGATCTCCGCAGTGTCCGAACACTATTTTTACACACACAGATGGCTCTGAGCTGCGATCATAAATAAAGCATGCATCAGTGTATGGCGGCGGCGGCGGCGCTGGCTTCCCTCGGGGGACGCGTTTCCTCCAGATCACTAGCTTTCTGCTCGGCCCCGTTTCTCATCTAAAGAAACAATGAGGGCTCATTTGAAAACTGATTATGTTGCTGATCTCTCAGAGGAATATGTGGGGAATATCTTAAGAAAGCCGCGTTTCCTCCACGCCGTCTCGTCTCAGACTGCTGAAATAAACATGGAGCTCTTCCTCATTTGAACACTCGCTCTAATTTGCACCTTTTGCTTTTCCTCTGAAACACACGAGGAATACTAACGAACGCAGACGGCGGAAAGCGCAGCGTGGACAGAAAACACACACACTGATGGAGCGGAGTGGAGCATCACTGTCACTGAAACGCCGAGTTATTCCTACAACACCACTGAATGTATGTTTATAGTTGAGTTGTTGTCGTGCTGGCAGCGCTGAGCTGAACGTAAAATAATAAAAACACATCCCATTTCAACCTCCACTGCAAAACTACATTAAAATGAAGAGAAAAAACATCAAAATGCAAATCAACATGATGTAAACTGACTAACGTGATGTCAACATAACATCAGATCTGACCAATCGCATAACATCGATGCTGACGTCGCCATCCAAAATTGATTTCTCGATTATCCTGTAATCGATTATTGATGTGTCGCTTTGACAGCAAGCTAGTTTACTGTATACGCATTGTACAGACAAATAATATATTCTAATGTTGATGCTTTTATCAGCAGCAGGATGGATTACTGTAACGGCCTCCTCACTGGCCTTCCCAAACACACAGTCAGTTACAGCTCATCCAGAACACTGCGGCCAGGATGAAGCAGGAAATCAGAGCACATCACACCTGTCCTCAGGTCTCTACACTGGCTCCCAGTCACATTCAGAATAGAGTTTACAGTATTATTACTGCTCTATACATCACTGAATGGCCTATAGCAGCTCAATACATTACAGATATGCTCACTGAATACAAACCTAGCATCAACGCTTGACTGAAGGCGTGTCTGAAGTTGGAGCTGAAGCGATCATCATAGCAGCGTCAGCCAATAAAATTCAGTCAGCTAGAGGCCACTGTCTAGCTCAGGGATCACAACTGTGTTTCTGGAGAGCCACCTTCCTGCAGAATTC